CTGTCCATTTCTCCAGCTTTGTCATGTTGCTTAAAGTAAGTTTTTTCAAAGCTGGAAATGGTATAATTGAATCTCCTCTGCCTTGGCTGTTGCTTGCACACCATGTTTTGAGCTCCGGGCAATCCCCAATGTGCAACTCCTCAAGGCAAGAAAACACAACCATGCCTTGTGTTGTTTCGCATCCCTCCAGCTTTGTCATCTTCCTTAATGTTAGTTTTCTCAAAGCTAGAACTGGTAGGATTGATTCTCCTTCACCTTGGCTGCTGCTTTGATGATAAGACATTCTGCCTATCCTACTCACATTATGCATTGCCTTTATATTGAGAACCTTAAGCTTAGGTAAGCGTTCAAGGCATGAAATATTACCACATTCATCACAATCAATCAATTTCAACTTCACAAGCTGTGTCAAATTCATCATCCATGAAGGGCAGTTACCTCCCCTATAATTCTCAATGGTTAAGCTTTTCAATGTTGAGGGAGGTTGAAGACCTTCCAGAACACCCCTATCAACACCCATATCTTCAGGATTGTTGGCTCTGTTTTCACTCCATACAAATTGCAACTTGATCAATTCTGCTTTATCTTCAAGACTTGCTTCCTTAGCGTGTGAGTGAGGTACTAGCTCAAGCTTGCAAAGTTTCAGTTTTCCTCTGAGTTTGTTCAAAGATTTAAGCTCTTCAATTCTCCGACCCTTTTCTGTGCCCACAACAAACAGCGGTAAAGTCTGAAGAGAAGTTAATTTCCCAATGCCACTTGGCACGTACCTTTCATCAAAATAAATATGCCTCAAGTTGACTAGATTTTCAATACCCCTTGGGAGCTTTTCCAATGACTTGCAGCCCGTGAATCTTAAAGTCTGCAAATGGTAGAGCTTAGTGACAGATTTTGGTAGTCTTTTAATTGCACTACCTGATATGTCAAGGTATCTCATGTAATATTTCAATCTGCCAAGAGAAGATTTCAACTCATTTGCATCAGCAGCTGCTAGCTTTAAAGATTGCAAACTTCTGGACTTCTTAGGCATCATGTGCAAAACATCAACATCCGAGAACAAAGAGCGCAACCTTCGAGCAACACCTTTTGGAACAGTGTGAAGGTTTTCATGAGACTCAACCCTCATATGCCGAACACTCTCCTCAACGGGATGGGTATCCGGCCAAATATATGTTTCATATTTTGCTGAAAGCAATGCAAGATTATGCACCTCATTATGCATCTTGCAAAACTTTATATTCCCACACTCATCCATATCCACGTCTTCCAATAAGTAATTGGATACCAACTCATTGATGTACCTGTTACCAACATCTTCTTCTTCATCTGATTTTCTGTCATTGGATTGGGAAAGAAACCCATTAGCCATCCAATGCTGAACTAATTCATCTCTTCTAATGTTACAATTTTTTGGAAAAATTGAACAGAAGGAAAAGCATCTTTTCAAAAGTGGAGGCAAGTGATCATAACTTTTTTTCAGGTGAAACAGAATCTCCAGTCTATGTGGTGCATGCCATGCTTTATTATCTCTGATAGCTGACCACTCATCTACCCCAATATGAGCGCCCAAATGTTTGCCAAAGACAGCTGCAACTAATGGCAAACCCCCACACTGTTTTGCAATATCTATTCCAATAAGCAACAACTGTGGATCTTCTATTGGAGTTCCATTGGACGATCTAATAACATTGTCCATTATCAACCAGCAGTCATCATCTGATAGCTTTTGCAATTCATGCTTTTGCAAAGGAATTTCCTCCATTGTTGAAGCTACCTCTTTATCACTAGTTGTTATGACAACAGAGATCGTGGTAGTTTTGAACCATTTTGGCAGCTTAGAGATGAACAGTTTCAAACTCTGAGCATCTTCATTCCATACACCATCAAAGATGACAAGAATTTTTTTATTTTCTAACTCTGTTTCAAGATGACAACGTATTGCACCGATATTTGTCATTCCACCAGCACGCCTATCAAGATATTCCAACATCTGTCCTAACATCATCCCTTCATTAAAATCCTTATGTAGCGGCACCCAGGCTACCAGATTGTACTGGTCATTTTTCCTTGCCCTCACATATATTGATCCAGCTAATGCTGTCTTTCCAACACCTGGCATGCCAACTATGGAAAGGCCAGAGAGTTGATGCCCCGGGCTCAACTCATCCAGCAATCTTTCAATTTTTGACACATCAGCATCCCTTTGCAAAACTTCAGAATCGTAAGATGACTCATCAGCTTCACGATTTTGGTTGTCTTTTGTCGGTCTAATACACTTTGATTGTAGTACAATTCTATCGAAAGACTCATTAACCTCCTTAATTTTGCTAAGCATGGATTTGGAGGGAAAAAACAAATTGCGCACCTCTTTCTTGACTTGGCTTGGAATCCGACCTTTGTGGCGGTGACCTCCATATGCATCCTCAGCCAGCAGATCACGCAGATCTTCAGCTGCATCTTGGAGCCTCTGCAGCCAACTCCTTGTGGTTTCATCATTTTCCATTTTATCTGCCTTTTCGAGCACAGATTTCATCAATAGGGGCCACTCCTTCAGCTTCTTCAGCTCCTTCTTCAAATCCCCTGAATTCCAGAGTTGTCTGACTCTTGTGTCGAGCGGTGCAGTGAATCTATAGAGTAAATCCTCAATAACAGGGACAACGAGGAGGGTGAAAGCGACCTCAGTCATTATGTATGCAAGTGCAGACGTAGAGAAACGATTGCAAACACAATTTGAATTCTAATAAGAGGAGAGAAAAGGAGAATAGCTTTGGAAGAGCAGAGAGGTAACAAGGGCAGCAGCAACCGTATCTAGATGAAAATAGGAGTGTTTGACGGAACTTTTATTTTTGACTTTTTTGCAGGTTTTTTTTTTCCCTTTATAAAATTAAATTTAAGGAGAAATAGTGAAAATTATGATATTTTGAATATTAAGATTTTGT